AAAAATGCTATAACGAAATATTTATTGTTTTTCTTTCATTTTATTCTAGGAAGGTATATCCTATCGAAGCAATGCCAACGTTAAAAAGAGAAAGAAACGCTGTATCTGAGAGTGCGAATAATGCGCACTGCGCCTTTCTGACTACTAGGTGATGATTTGATACGAGAATGCGGATGCACATGAGAGTGTGGATGTGGGTATGAGTGGTGGTGTGGTTTACAGTTTTTTTTTTCCATACCTTGAGATATCGATACGTGCGCAAGTTTCATTGTGCGTATCTTTCGTAGACCCGCTATATCTGTATCAACTCCTCTTATTTAATTCGTGAAATTGTATATTTATCCAGACACAAGTAATGCCTCAGTCCAATCTCATCCTCTAAATGTAGATTACAGTTTGGAGAACTCAATGTGACAAAGAAAATTCTAGAATGAGTCGTCTCAACGCCTTGCATTTCTTGAGTTTTGGTTGTTTTATTGGGCTTTTGCCTGCTGGCAATGTATGTACGAAGGAAGTGAATTTCAGAATTTTCACTTGAAATTTTTTTTGCCTATAGACAGCACTTATAGCCATTAAAATATCATAAAAACCGCAACTCAAATGGATGTTTCCACCTCGAGATGCTGAGTTTTGAAGATGTTCGACCTGCTAACCTTTGCTCGTGACATGCGATCGGATTTTCAATTTTTCAGTATCTAATGAAGGAAGCATTCGTTTGAGCTGAGATCTTGTATGATATTCCTAACAGACAGAAAAGCTGTCTATGGACAAAGAAAGTTTCAGATTAAATTTCCATTATTCGACTGCTGCATACATGCGTTCTCACAGGAGAAAATCTATCAAAACAGCCAGAATTCAAGAAGTACAAAACGATTAGACGACCCATTCTAGAATTTTTGTAGTCACATCGAGCTCTTCAAACTGATGTATACTCGATTTCAAATGGCGCTTGACATTTGAGATCTTTCCTCGTTAGTTACAATTGTCAACTGTTCAATATTACAATTTAAATACTTTATTTGACTACTTCAGATATTCACAGTCGATGATTCCAAAAAAAAGCATGCTTCGGTGGATTGCAGGAATCGTGATACACCTGTTAAGTTTAAATGTAAAAGGAGCAAAAACATTTAGCATTGAAAAATATCAGAATAACCCTTTTCTCTTGATAGTTTCAATCAAGAGTATATACGAATCGTGAGATACTTTTACCTCCACCAAAATTATACTATATTCTGAAGAGTTTACTACAATAATCTGAAAAATCATAACTGTTTTCTTCATAGCACAAATTCATCAAAGTTCCATGTTCAAAACTTAATTTGCAATTGTGTAATAGGCCAACGATACTGTATTTTTATATGTCTTCAAAAGATGATAGAAATTATATCACAATCTAGAGATTAACGAGAACAATTAAATAAAAATCCAATGCACCATTTTTCGCTGGAAATATTTGAAAAAGGTTATTTTTATGAAGAACACTATAATTAAAATCATTCATAACCACAGGTTTATGATTATAATATAATCTCTTTGATTTATATTTTTTTTGTAAGGCACTGGTATTAGGTCCATCATAGTGCCCGGCGTGACCATGAAATTGTGACCAAAGAAAAAAAGATTATTCGATAGTAATGCTCATGTTGACTATGATAAAAATACTTTTGACTTGATTCTTTGTATTTACAATTTTCTCCTCTATAAAATTATGTGTAAAACTTGAGGATACAATGATCTATACAAGAGAAAACAATGACACATTTTTCGTAACCATTTCTAGTCACGGTCAGTCACGGTAATTTCTGGTCACAACAAATGTGTCGTTGTTTTCTCTTGTGTAGATCATTGTATCCTCAAGTTTTATACATCATTTTGTAGAGGAGAAAATTCTGAATACAAAGAATTAAATCAAAAGTGTTTTTGTCATATTCAACATGAAAATTACTATCGGACAATCTTTTTTTCTTTAGTCACGGTTTTATGGTCACGCCAGGCACTAGTCCATCATCTTATCTTAAATCTTGTGTAGATAAATGTAATAAAAATTGAAGAGCTAGCTGTACTGCCACCTTCGCTAGTAAAAGCTAGTTAACTACTTCATGTCTCAAGTTGTCCCTATGTTACATTAAACACACACTTACACATGAGAGGAAAAAAATGAGTCAGGTGAGTACAGGAGATAATGAAAAAGATGGAAAGTAAAATCGAAAGAACGAGAAAAAAAGCAGTGATTAGCGTAAGCAGTGAAGTTAAAGTACTACTCTTAGTTGTGATAAGTTTACAGCTTTAATATATGATCTTTTTTCAACAGGTTTATCAAGGTTCTAAAAACAGTGATGCAAATTTACGCAAACATTTAGCAAGTTCGGTTCACCAAGTTCCAAATGTCTTATATGCATCGCAAACAAATGATGGTTCAAATGTTCAAGTTCCTGTTCCAGTTATATCACCTGAACGAAAACGTGAACTACATACTGCTGCAGTTAATTGTATATTACGTGATGGTCTTGCATTTGGAATATTTCGTGAACCTGGTATGAGTCAATTTCTCCAAACAGCTATTCCTGGATATGTTGGTCCGAACCGTAAAACAGTTCGACAAAAAATAGCAAAGATATATTCATCATACACCACCAAACTTCGGTCTGTTCTATCCAAAGTCGATTTTATTGCACTCACATGTGATCTTTGGCGAAGTTCAAAACGAGTACATTACATTAGTCTTACTGGGCATGTTTTTAATACGAAATATGAAACTGTTCCAATTGTACTTGGTTGTCGTCGTGTTATCGGCCGTCATTTATCCACAACTATTGAACGTTATATTGAATTTGAATTAAAACGACTTAATATTAAACAAGAACAACTTGTTAGCATTACCACTGATAATGGTTCTGAAATGAAAAAAGCAACATCAACACTTAAATTTGGCAATCGTATTTCTTGTATGGCCCACAACCTTAATCTGGTAGTAAAGCGTGGTCTCTGTCTTTGGACAGAACCAAATCCAGATGAGTAAGTATAATTTAAGAACTTTGTATTTACCAAGAAACTACATCAAGTGATACCTTTCATTTTAATCCATTTGTATTTTATTCAGTCCAATATATTGAGATAGAAAAAAGAAATAAACATTCATAATTTTTAAAGGAAGAGCTGTGGGAATTTATCATATTAGATTGTTTCTTATCTTCACACACTCGATCGAATGAGGTATGGATGAATAAACATGGGAGCAATTACTTCGTGTAGTTTCCATTAAGATAAATTCGTCTAAAAACTTTTATTCTATATCATTTGGATAAACGTATCTTGAAATTAGTTTATATCTATTAATACTAAAATTAAGAAGTATTTTCATCGTGTTTTGGTAGGAAATATTTTATTGATCCTTGTCAGCTTTATTCTTTTACTTTATGTTGTGTTGTTCATAAAGAGAAGTTTACCCTATTTTCAAACCCAATCATTGGTATTCTAATGTCGCTTCTTCGTCGAAATTATTTTCTTCTACCACTTTTCTGATTTATTAATGGTTTTGGACAATATCTTTTTTTTTCTCAATTTTGATATTTGAAGACAATGTGATACAGCTCAATCATGTAGAGGTTGTAAGCAATAAATTAAGGCATGAGCTATACTGGTGTTCTGTTTTAAAAAATAAAACATAAGGAAAAAGAAATTTGACATACATAGTTTTAACTAAATAATTTGGTCATCCGCATTCAACACATTATCAATCACTAAATGAAAAGCCCACTTACATTCTGAATATAATACAGATATAACTAATTGATTCCTACGAATCTGAAGAGAGTCACAAAAATAGATTTGAATCTTGTAGAACTACTGTTAATCACATCAAAGGATAAAAGATATACAAATACAAATTAAATATATTTCAGTTTCTTTCAAAAGAATATTAGGTTAATAATATAGTTAATATCGTATGTGAAAAGTTAACATATGTCAATATAACTTATCAAATTTCAGAAACAGAATGAAATTAAAAACAAAAGCTGATTCATTCATTCTATGCATGCAGAATGTTAAAAATTTGAGGTAGTATACTAGTTCTTAAAAATACATCTTTTTTTTACCTGGTATGAAATATCATACATAATCAGAAGTATAATCAATATCATATAATATATACGGTAAGTCAAGATGCCAACTACATTGCTATAATACAGACTGAAAAATAAATAGAAAATATTGAATAAAGTCCAGATAATGACAAACTTCTTCAAGAATTAAGCAATTTTATCTCCTAGTCAAACAAATATTATGCATTTTGTTTTGTCACAAAAAGAACAGCCTTTTAGCAAGAAAGTTTTAAAAATTGCTTATCTCTCCGTATAGTGTCAGTAGTGTCAAACTGGAATGTTGAATTCAAGTATTCAACTATCAGTTCAACTATTCAAGTGTTCAGTTATTGAATACTTGAAACTTGAATACTTGAAAATTCAAGTATTCAATAACTGAATGCTTGAATATTTGAATTTAAGTTTCAAGTATTACATATATGTATAGTGTATGATTGATTTTGACAAGGCTATCGTCGGACGACGGAAAACCCATTCTTATTCTGACTGCCGAAAAGCGAATCATTTCAAGAATTGTGGCTTTCGAAAGACAAGCTACCGAACCAATTAAGATCATGTTTATTTGTGCGTGCACATAGAATATGCAAGTGTATATCGCTAAGTATTCAGAAAGCATCCTTTTCATAAAATATGCACGAAGTCTTGTGTAAAAAAGATCTTAGTTATTAATTTTTAGGGAATATTCTTATTTTCAAAATATACCTAATAATTCATTCGAATCTTTATTGCATTCTCAAGCTAAAGGCTAATTTCTTATGTTTTTTCGATGTGCCGATTATGACATAACATATCAATCATAAACGAGAGTTTTTATTTAAACTTCTAATAATAAAATATTGGAAGATGATTGCATATTGACAGAGAGAATAATGAATAATAAAGAATATTTAAATAGACGTCTACTAGTGTGATGACTTGAGTATTATTGGAGACATGCTTGAATTTTTATAACGTAAAACAGCATCGAATTAAACATATGATTATAAAGAGATCGCGATTTTTTCTAGTATCTACATGCTATCACAACAGGTAAATTAACATTATTTCTATGTAACCAAAATCTGAGTTTTATTTCAAATTATCTGCCGTATTTCACACAAAATGCTATTAAAGGTTAGTTTCTCTATCGTATGATATAGAATTAATGAGACATTTGCTAGACGACTCCTGTAATACTTTTCTACCTTTTGTTGTCAATATAAAATGCTATAACTAGTATATTTGGGTTTTTGAATATCTTTATTTATCTTATTAATCATCTTAATTTTAACACAAAAAATGTCTTCAAGAAGATTCAAGAATCTAAAAACAACGATATCGTAAATCTAAAATGAATATTTTTAATAACTGTATTCTTTGTTATCTAAATCTTCCTTATCTCCATCCGAAATGAATGACATAACTGCTATATACCGATCTTTGTTGCTCGCAAGTCCAAGAAGTCAGTGAATCTGATAAATAAACATTAGTACTAGTGTGAATTTGAATATTTAGAGCAGTTCATCATCTAAGACTCTAATAATTAGTTTTCACAGAATGAGAATGTTTTTTTTTCTATTTTAAATGTATACATTAAGCAATTTTGTATTTGTATTTTAGTTTTCCATTGGTTCTTGACTCTAATTCTGATGAATGGGAAGATATTGATGATATTGATTACGGTGCATCCGATGTTGATGAAAATTTAATTGAAGTAGCTAC